GGTTCATTTGTCATAAATTAAGTGACCATATGCATTTGGTTTATTTCTGGGCTCTTTATTCTGTTCCATTGATCTCTATGTCTGTTTTATGCCATTATCAAACTTTTTTGATTACTATAGCTTTGTAATATAGTTTGAAATAAGAGAGCATGATGCTTCCAGCTTCGTTCATCTTTCTCATTGATTGCTGTGGTTATTCAGGGTCTTTTGTGCTTCTCTACAAATTTTAGGGTTATTTGTTCCATTTCTGAAAAAAATGCCATTGAATTTCGATTGGGATTGTATTGAATCTATAGATTGATTGCTTTGGGTAGTATAGATACTTTAACAATATTTTTCCAATCTATGAGCATGAAATATCTTTCCATTTATTTGTGTCTTCTTCAATTTTTTCCATCTACATTATACTTTTCAGTGTACAGGTCTTTTCTTGAGTAAATTTATTCTAGGTTGATGCCATTGTAAATGGGATTGTTTTCTTAATTTCTCTTTCCTGTAATTTGTTGTTAGTGTATAGGAATGCAACAGATTTTTTAATATTGATTTTATATCCTGCAACTTTACTAAATTAATTTGTAATTCCAACAGGCAACAACTTTTTTAAAATATAAAAATACAGTCCTGTGGGGCCACAATCTTAAGACCAACTAGCCACTAGAGCCAAGTGATCCAGTATCCCCTGGGTAGTAGTTGCAAAAACTGGAGTGCCAGACAGGGGTACAAGGCCCTTTCCAGGATATATTTGGAAGCTGGTGTAAAGCAGAGGATGAAAACAAATATGGCATCTACCATCTTCCCTGTCTAGATGTGTGTCAAATCAGAAGCTTGCCCCTTAGTTTGAAGCTCCAGGACAAGCAAATAAGCTTCTTTTACAGAAAGACTAAGGATATGTTTCATCTGCTGTCTGTGCTGTGCCCTGTTGTTCGTAACCAGCCAGGAACTCTCTTTCCTATTTGTTAAAGTGCCATGAACCCCGTGAATGCAAATTCTGCTGGCCACTGGAGACAGATGATAGAGGGGCAGCCACCACTAGGGCACCAGATGCCTATACAAGCTCCCCTCCAGGAGATACTGTCACTCAGAAGTAGAGCAGAGGGAGAGTGCAAAGAAGTGCCAGCCTTCCAGGGGCTCTGGAGAGGATTACAGCTGCTCCTTACATGTGCCCCTTAATTAGAAGCCTGTCCCTCAGGATATAGTGAAGATGAGCGAATAGGCTCCTTTCACAGAAAGACCTGCCAGGCACCTGTCTGTTGCCTCTTGCCATGCCCTGTGGGTGGTAGCGGGTTAAGAACTCTTTCTCTCTCACAGTCCTGTGAGAACTGTGATTATAAGTCCCACTGGTCACCACAGCCAGGTGTTCTAGAGGTGTCCCCTGGGTGGAAGCCACAAAAAATAGGGATCCAGATGAGGGTACAAGCTCCTTTCCAGGAGATACCAGCCAGCTCGAGTGAGGCAGAGGGAGAGCACAAACATGGTACGCACCGAACTTCGTCCCTGGAGAATAGTTCATGAACCCCTGGGTGAAGCTTTAAAGATAAGCAAATAAGCCTCTTTCATAAAAAGTCCTGGAAGGACTGCCCCAGTCCAGGCCTCCTCTGCCCTGGTCTGCATGATTGCAGTACAAAGTGGAATTCTTCTTCCCTGGGCCCTGGGGTGGGTGAATCAGTGTGCCTGAGCCCTTAAGAAGTGTTTCTCAGTTTACTAGTCTTGTGGATCTTAAAGAGGCAAGCCCCACTGGCTTGCAATTCTAGATGCTTTGGAGGCTTATCTCTGAGATGCATGTCTTACAAATTGGGACGCACAGTGTGGGGTTCAAACCTTCTGTTGCTCAAGATGCAACTTTGGGTTTTGAGTTCTCTCATGATTGTGGGTCACTGCACCGGGGGTGGGGTTTATGTTGTGTTTACATCAGTATCTCCTACCTACTTCGATATATTTTTCCCCATTCACCTGACGTGTAGAAGAGTTTTTTCTTCCCTCCCCCACCCAGAGGAAATTGTTCTATATGTAGCTGTAAATGGTGTCCATAGAAGGTGAGGTCAGTATCTTCCTAGATTACCATCTTGAACAGAATTCAGTACTATTTAATAAAAATTAAAGACAAAGCTGTCTCGAAGTAGCTTTGACTTCACTTTTTAATTCTCATAAGGATCAAAACTGAAATTACTGGTTTTGTGTAGGAATAAAGAATTCTTTCATAAACATTGTTGTGGAGAAGGAATTTCTTTGGCCTTGATTCTTAGGTTTTCAAGAGTTCTACTTTAAATATTTTCTTTTAGGTGAGGCCCTATGCAATTCAGGAGGAAGCAGCACCTTCTTTACTAAAAGTGACACTGCTACTAAAATAGTTCAAATCTGCTTTGATCTTCTATGCATGCTTTACTCAACAATATTGTCTCATTTTTAATCAATTACAATGCATTCTTTGAAGCATCTCTTTGCAATGGCAGTGTTTCCATTCACTTTGTTGGTATGGAGACCAGGAAGGTGGCCAGTAATCAAAGCAGCTGGGAATATTTGACCACATATGTAGCGCTCGAGATTTATTTCATGGAAGGTCTGCCCCAGTCCAGGCCTCCTCTGCCCTGGTCTGCATGATTGCAGCACAATCATGATTGTGCATATTTGGGTGTTTCTGGACTTGGTGAAATGTTTCATAACTTTTAAAGTAACCAAAAAAAAAAAAAAAAGAAAAAAATATAGAAATCACAACAGACAAAGCAAGCAGTTATTGGTTAAGGGAAAAATATCTGGGACATAGGCCAATGAAATTGTGAAATATGAAACTCTTGATATAAAGGCATTTTAACTACTAAGATAAGGTTTTGAAAAGCAACTGCAAGAAAAAATTTCTAAAACTAACTTTAAAATAACAAATCTCCCATATTTTAGTTACATTAATATAATAGACAAGTGTCCTGAAGTTGATTAGAGATGCATTTTTTTCTCCTTCACATTTTCCAATATCAATATTAATGTGAGATATTCAGTTTTAACTATAAATTATGAAATATATTTTGTTTTTGAGGCATTTCATCTAAAGCTCATATCAACTATTAATTAGGCCTGATTATGAATTAAAGGCACCCCAAATTAAAGTCTTTATAATCGAATAACAGTAAAACTTATTACCACATGCCAGGCTTACTTCTAAGTGCTTAACAGGCATTGTGAACTCATTAAATACTGACAAAAACCATTAAGATGAATGGTCTGATTATTTAATTCCTATTTTTTCAAATGACAAAAAGGAGTGAGATTAAACGTCCTGGAGGTTACCCAATTAATAAGAGACTGGAACCAGAGTCTGAACCCAGGTCAAAACTTAACTACTCAGAGCCTGTTGACCAAAAGCCTACCAATAACATAATCAGTCAATTAAAATATAATTTGTTTTATGTATTACATACTATATATATTACAATCAAGCAAGAAGAAAAAATGTTAAATAAGAAAAATCACTTACAGTATTGAAAAAATCTGCACAGTGGACACGTGTTATTCAACAGTCAACTATAAAACAGAATTATAGTTCAGATAAACTGAAGTGAGAGTGAGGATAGTTAAAAGACTACTGGTTCATTTTCTGGAAATAAGGTAGCATTCTTTGAAGTACTCTAACAAGACATGACATCAGAAGTCATAGGTGTGAACCCTTGATCTGATCTTGTTCAAGTGAATTATCCTCTCTGAACCTTTTTTGATCTGTTACTGTTGGCTTTCAGTAAGAACATATGCATTTTAGTCAGGACTTTTTCAATATAAGATTGAACGTGAATAATTAGATTAAGCATAAAAAGTTTTTCAGAAGAGCACTGAAATGAATGAAAGGCATTTTAGAAACCAGAACAGCTTTAGAAATCTTAGGAATGGGAATAGAACTATGATCGGTTCAGTTTGGGTCACTCGCCAGTGACAGAGGAATAGGACTGGTCAAGCCTGAGCCTATGGCCAGGGAGATGAGAAATGTGACTGGCAAACCTATCAGCACTGTGCAGTTCCCAAAAGGACAGACTGAAGGACAAATGCCAGCTGAATTTTAAAAAGATATCAAAAACACAAGTGCTAATAAACAAATAACATTAACAGACACGGGTGGATACTTGCCATGTTCTGAGCATTGTTTTAAGCATATCTCAGGTAGTATGTAGTATAACATTTGGAAGAAAGTCCCAGCTGTACACAAAGCACTATTAGGATGTACTGTGGGAGAGAAGTGGGGATGTAGTGAAATAGACTCAGATGATGAAGAGCCTTGAATGGGAGGCTGTTAGATTTAATTTTATTGACAAGTCAGAGCCAACACAAGTCAATGCAGAGAAGATAACACAGCAATAGTCATGTATTAGGATAACTAACCTGGATTACAGATGGGAGAAATGGGAGGTAGAAATTTCATTAATAAATCATTTCAACTAAAAGTTAGGCAAAGACTTGAATTCTGTAGGTGGTCGTGGGAATACAAAGGAAAAATAATAATACCACAAAAAGACAGATGAGGCACTGGAAAAGTAAAATATGTGAAAAATGATGGCTTATTAGAGATGGAGATGAGGGCTAAGAAGAGTTCTAAATGGCTATAAGGCTTCCCACTGAGGGCTTAAATGAATAGCTGGCTACAAAGGGAAAGTCAGGGGATGAGAACTGGTTTAAAGGGAGAGTGATGGTAAATTTAGTTTGGGGTATACTGAGTTGGAGCAGGCAAAAAATTTTTGGAAGGAGATATCAAGTAGACAATTTTAAATGTGACAGCATATCATAAAAACTTGGGGCAGGGAACACTCAATCTTCTGGAGCAGACAAAACTGTAAAAAGATAGCACAGATAAAGAAATGAACGTACTATATAGACTGAAACTTAAAATCCTAGTGCAAAATGTGGTTAGCCAACAGGTTGTAAAATTTTAAAAATTTAAATTTATTAGGATTTATTAATAACACAATCACACAGAATAAAGTTCAGGAATTCATCAATGATGTTCACCAATATGTGCTTCTTTGTGGCTTTTTAAACTGTATTTCTCATGATTTAGATTTATTCGTAATATAACTGAAGTTCATACATAGTTTCACAATATGGATATTACAGATCTTCCATCGGTAAAATTAATGAAAACATATCTTTTATGAAAGGCACATAAAGAATCTAAACTAACACATTTAAGGAATTTTGACCATTTTGAATTTCTTTACATTACAGAGAAGAAAAACAAATCCCTAAAATTAAACAGATACAAATGTAGTTTGTGGTTACCCACCCCCCAACACATATACACATACTTCAACAAATACACATCAATAAAATTCAACAAACGACAGCACGTAACTAAACTTAGAAACTGTTTACCCACAAAGCTTACTGAAAAGCTACTTTTTTCAAGATGAGTAAAAAAAGGTGAGTAGGGTGAGGAATTTTGATGAAACGAGGTCACAAGATACATTGTGATTCATCAAAAAATAGAAAATAAAAAGACTACCGAAGTTCGATATCTAGCTGATATATAACACTTATTTGAGCATACATACAATCACTGACATTTTTAAACACTATTACTCATTTTCTAAGTGTAATTGCCTGTTTCATTCTCAGAAATAGCACAATTTAAAAAGAAATATAAACTCAAGCAAGAGGAAATTTGAACAATGTAAGAGAAAAAGTAATTTTAATATGATAATTAAGTTTGAAACTAGTTACATATACGAATTAAAAGCTTGCATTATATCAGCAGCAGTATATTTAAAGGTCTTTCTTGTTATCTTCCAAAGAGCTATCATATATGCTAGGTACAAGGGATTTCCCAAAGGAAATACACAAATGAATGTCTCAAAATTCATTATGCTGACGTATTTTTTACCCCAAATATCTCTCATCATTCACCTAAACTTAGTTATAAATAAAAAGGTAGTTATTTAGAGTGTATAAAAATTAATCTGGCATCACCTTTAAGGCAATGCATGAATAATACCATCCAAATATTAAAATTCCAAGTGAAAACAAACCAACTGAATAAAAATTAAGTATAAGTCTAAGATAGTATATCCTCGAAATATGAAATTTTCATTTTTTAAACAAAATCCAATGTAGAGTCAGATCAGCATGCACTCTTAAAAGAAAAAATGAAATGCACACAATGTTTAAATAATTGATTCAAAGGCAGGTATATTGAATTCTCTTTAAGAACATTAAAAGAAATCATGTTAGTAAAATAGTCTGTGCCATGTTTGTACAAATAACATTTTTATTACAGGTATACATATAACCAAGATAAGGGCTACAATGTTTCCTAATATTAATTACTGTACTTAAAAATTTATAGGACATGAACTTAAATAAAGCTGTTTAAAACTGGCAAACAGTAATAGTCTGTAATTCAGTACAAAGTACTTAATATTTGTTATTTCTAAAGCCATCACGCTAGAATTGTTAAGTTGCCACTCTTAAAACCTTAAAGTAACGTGGAAAACTAAAGTTATAAATACATGTATACAACATTTGCATATTTACACTTACGTAGAAAGCATCAATACACTAGAGTCCTGCTTTAACACTGCCTTTAGTTTCACACTGCAGGACCCACCTTTTAACATTTAAGAAAGGTCCTTCTGTTACTTTCAGTTACAAAAACAAAACAGAACAACTTTGGTCAGGTTCCAGGTGCATTTGCCATAAGCTACATTCTGTGTTGCTGCAAGACTTTAGAGAGATCCACACATAAGTACTCATTTGGTCTGAAAATGCATTTTACCGTTAACTGCGAAACTTAGAAAAGACCACAATCTTTTAGATTATTTTTTATGATGACATCTGTTACAGCATCAAAAACAAACTGCACATTCTTAGTATCTGTGGCACATGTGAAGTGGGTGTATATTTCCTTTGTGTCTTTTCTTTTATTGAGGTCTTCAAACTGACACTGAATATACGCAGCTGCCTCTTCATATGTGTTTGAGCCTGAGATGGGAAGGGGAAAGAAACATAGGTGAAAAGTTAAAATAGTATACAGCTAAGCAAAATGAACCTTAAATTATTGAAATCAGTTTCATACATATACAATATGTGGATTCTATAATTTTATTTTCCTTTCCAGAATGAGAGAAACTATTCCTTCTAAATGAAAAATACCCAATCTTAACTACCCTTTAATGACCAATAGTTACCCTTTAAAAAACTCCCCGAACCAAAAACACAGTTTTCCACATTCCACTGATCGTTGTTCCTGCCTCAGTCTCCAAGCGCCGGATTCCCCTTCTTTCTTCTCCCTTGTACTCTACATCACAACAATGAACCACTCAATTCCCTGATGGTGGCATGCTATTTCAGTTCTAGCCCAGTGTCTGGTCAAGCAATGCTGACCGAATACTGATCATTATTTTTTATTCCCTTTCTTATATACATGTTAATTAGTATTTCTTACTCATTTTGTTAAAAAATTATACAAGGGTCTACAATGTGGTTTATGGCTATGATGTTACAAAAAAGTTAATGACACACTCCTGCTTTCAGGTAACTGACTACAGATTTCTGAGAACAAACACTTCCAGACATTGGCAGTATCTAAAGATAATCACATGCATAATGTGACTCAGTAATTGTTTCTAGATGTGTCCCTGACAGAACTATATAAATATGTTCACTATATAAACACTTTTATGTTCAACATATAAAGACTTAATAGCAGAACGTCTAGTTTAGGAAAGAATCCAGCTAATAAATTCCAGCATATTCATAAAACAAACTGCCACACAGTCATGAGAATGGAAGTACTACGGCTACACACAATAACGTGTATGAGTTTAATAAACATACTGTAACAAATAAAGCCAGACACAAAGAGTATACACTGTATGACTCAACCGAGATTTAAAAAATAAAAGTTTGACAACAATCAAAGTTAATCATCAATATGTGCGTGTCAGGGGGATTGGGGGGGGCAGGGATCAGTTACATGGGAAGGTGCATGATGGGGCTTCTGGGTATCTGGAAATGTTCTACTTCTTCACCTGAATGGTGAATACACCAATATTTTCACTTTCAAAAATTCGAGAAGCTTCACATTTGTGCTGTGTGTGTATATATTTTATATATGCACATATATCACACATCAACCAAATGTCCATTTGAAAAAAATTTGTTAAATTTCTCTTTTGCAGTAAAAACACAAAATTATTTTCCCGGCTTTCAAGGTCCTCTAATATTCAGCCTGCTTTGTAGAGCCATTCTGAGATCCTCTGTTCCATGTCTGAGATTCACTCCATGTCATGAGAACCCAATATACAAACTGCCGCCTGTTACTGCAGTGCTTCCCCTCCAGTCAGTTCACCAGCTGTTTCTGTATCTTGGCTGCTGTAAATAATGCTGCAATAAACATGGGGGTGCCTATATCTTCTCAAGTTAAGTGTTTTTGTTTTCTTCAGATAAATAACCAGAGGTGGAATTGCTGAATCATATGGTGCTTCTGTTTTTAATTTTTTGAGGAACCTCCATACTATTTTACACAGTGGCTGCACCAACTTACATTCCCACCAACAATGCACAAGGGTTCTCTCTTTTCTCCACATCCTCACCAACATTTGTATTTTTTGTCTTTTTGATACTGGCCATTCTAACAGGTGTGAGGTGACAGCTCGTTGTGGCTTTGATTTGTATTTCCCTGATGATTAGTGATGTTGAACACCTTTTTATGGACCTGTTGGCCACCTGTATGCCTTCTTGGAAAAATGTCTATTCAGATCCCCTGTGCATTTTTTATTGGGTTATTTGGGGTTTTTTCTTTATTGTTGTTTTTTTTGCCATTGAGTTGTATGAGTTCTTTACATTTTTAGATATTAATCTCTAAGCAGATATATAATTTGCAAATATTTTCCCCCATTCTGTAATTTTAATTTTTTGAGGAACCTCCATACTATTCATTTTGTCAGTGCTCTCCTTTGCTGTGCAAAAAAGCTTTTCAGTTTGATACAGTACCACTTGTTTATTTTGGTTTTGTTGCCTTTGCTTTTGATGTCATTCCAAAAAGTCACTGATGTCAACTGATTTTTGTATATTAATTTTGTATCCTGCAACTTCACTGAATCATTTATTAGTTTGAGCAGTTCTGTGGTGTAGTTAGGGTTTCCTAGAAAGAGCATCGAATCATCTGCAAATAGTGAGTTTTTCTTCTTTTCCAAATTAAATGCCTTTTTTTCCTTGCCTAATTTCTCTAGCTAGGATTTCCAATACGATGTTGAATAAAAGTAGTGAGGGTTGGATTCTTTGCCTGTCTTGTTCCTGATTTTAGAGAAAAAACTTTTAACTTTTCACCATTGAGTCTGATGTTAGCTGTGGGCTTGTCATATATGGCCTATATTATGTTAAAGTACATTCCCTCTGTACCCACTTTGTTGAGAGTTTTTATCATAAATGGGTGTTGAATTTTGTCAAATTATTTTTCTGCATCTATCATTATCCCACAATTGTTAAAGCGGTATAACACACTGATTAATTTTCAAATGTTGAACCATCTCTGCATCCCTGGAATAACTCCCATGTATGGTATATGATCTTTTTAATGTATTGCTGAATTTGGTTTGCTAACACTTTAAGAATTTTTGTATTTGTGTTCATCAGGGATATTGGCCTGTAATTTTCTTTTCTTGTGGTGTCCTTGTTTGGTTTAGATGTCAGGGTAATGCTGGCCTTGTAAAATAACTTTGGAAGTGTCCTGTCCTCTTCTAGGTTGGAAGAGTTTGAGAAGAACTGGTAACAATTCTTCCTTAAATGTTTGATAGAATTCACCAGTGAGGCAATCCGGTCATGGACCTTTGTTTTTTGGAAAGTTGTTGGTTATTCATTCAATCTTCTTACTAGTAATAAGTCTGTTCAGATTTTCTATTTCTTCATGATTTAGTCTTGGTAAGCTATATGTTTCCAGGAACTTATCAATTTTTTTCTAGGTTGTCCAAATACATTTTAACTCAAATGGCTAGCAGACAACCATATACTTTCACAAATAAAAAATTCATTTATTTTTTTAAATCATAGTAAGGTTGGTGCTCTGAAATTCTAAAGCAGTAAACAGTGTCTCGTTCATACAGAAGCTAATGTGACCCTATATTAAAAAATGTTATGGGAAAACAGCTTTCACTGAGTGTATAACTTAATCTCCTGTATATATTCTAGGTAGCTAGTTATATTACTTAATCCCAAGAGCAGCAAGATACATGAATAAACTAATGAGCACATTTCTCAATCTGATTTCAGTCATAAAAAAGAATGGCAAGGATGGGGCTGGAGGATGAGAAAGATATTTCCAAATGTGATAGAACTGTCCTAAATAAAGGTAAGTATAGATGATAACCTGGTTCCAGAATGGAGAATTGGGAAGTCAATGATAATATGAAAGTAGAGATTTGAGAGAAAAAAAATATATATCATAGGTTTAGTTTGAGTTTCAGGTGCTGAAAAAAAAGTACACATTCAACAAGCAATTTGAGATGCAAGCTTGAGGCTCTAGGGAGAAATTAGAGTTGACAGCAGAATTTAACATGGTGAGAATAAATGTGACTATGAAAGGATGAGAGTGCTAAAAGATTATAGGACCAGATGGAATGTGGAATGTGGAGAACTGTCAATATATAGGTAAAAAGAAGAGAAGAGAGGAGCAGACAGAGGTAGGCAATAAACTGAGTAGTGAGAGGCTATGTAGCGTTCTTCCATAGAAAGCATAGCCACAAGAATTAAGAGTTGAGGGTGAAGCAAGAGGCAACTGAATCAATAATTAGAACATGCAGTGAAGATTAAATTATAATCTTAAACAAGGAAGGTGAAAGATTAATATGATACTCTCTTCGTTCAAAGATTCTGAGATCAAGAATTCCTATTTACATAAGGAAAATTCTTGTATACACTGTATACTTGGCAAAGAAACAGCTAACAAGTATATTCTTGGTTGCTCTGAAATCCCTGTAGGTGTGTGCTATTTATGGACTCATTTGGGTACTCTAATATTCATACAAAATGGCCATTTCATAATAGGAAATTACAAAAATAAACTGAAAGATGAAAAGTAGAGCAAAACTGAGCTACCTTAATTCTGGATAACTTTAATCTTGGAATTAGAACTATAATTTTATTCCTAATAAGCACTAAAAATGTTCCTGAATAAGATGACTTAGGATACTATGACTTTCAAAAAGAATACAACACATTTTAACATAAGCAACTGTGTCAAATTATTTTGAACTGAAATGTAACTTTGCAGTATACAAATGAGTAGTATGATTATATTTATCGAAGAACCTCCCTCACCCTCTGGTTCCAATGAGAATTTAATTAAATGTAGTCTGCCTGTTAATGGTGTGGGTACAGAGTGTGACAGACTTAGGTCCAGATTTGGATTGTCACTTCATTAAGTCCCAGTGTTCCCATCTTTATGAATGGGAAATAAGAGCACTAATATCACAGGGCTGTTCTAACATCACCTGTGAAAAGGTAGTAAATACTTATTGTACTATTTACTCAATAGAAGATTAAAATTTTGTTTACAATGAAACAAATTCTTGAGATTTTTTTTTTTTTTAAACAGGAAGGATGGAGTGAGGGAACTTCTGTCAATTAGCTAAATTAACCAAACTCTTCAGAATATTTAGATTTAGCTCATGTAAACCAGTGGTAATCAAACTTTTTTTTAAGGCACAAAGTTCTCTTCATAAAAATAAAATCTATTCAGAAATCCAATATATAAAACAAATGAAAACTAAGTTTCTCTGCTTTAATAAGAGAGCAGTTGTGAGAGTGTGTGTGTGGGGCGCTCCTTGCATCCATTTTCAACAGCAGCTCAGGTTTTCCAAGGAACTAAAGCATAACCAGTGTTTTAGGCCAACTTCTATCTTCAAGATGGGGTGCTGAAACGTAGGTAAATTAACTGCCTTGTTCAAGATCGAACAGCTTATTATGGAAAAGCCAAGACTGTATCTCAGGTCTCCTTTTCTTACTGCAGACCATTTTCCATAGTAGTAAAATTCAAGCACCATTAATAGTCTCATTACCAAAGTTTAGATTTCCTGAAACCTTCCCTAAAGCTCCTGAGTTGTTAGCTACTCGCAAATTTCTTCATTTTTTCCCCTTAGTTATTGTTCATGCTCCTTTGAAGTAGCATGTGGCACTGCTATTGTTTATGAATACATACATCTGAGATTACACAGTGAGAAGGGATCTTATTTATTGTACTCACACAATACATGACACAAGATCTATTAAGGAAATGAAGAAATCAGTATTTAAAATTTATGAAGACTTGTCATCACAGAAAATTATGTAACAGCTTTTCCATAAAATGAATGTTATTTTAAATAATCTAATCCGAACATCAAGTAACTACCTGTGCTCGAATGTAGTTTGATAAGTAATTTCTCTTAAAGGTAAGAATGATTAAGCCAAGGGATTCAACTCAATAACAAATCTTGCCTTAGGAGAACTTTCACTTAGAAATACATGACACAACAAGTTATCTACAGAAAGTAAAATACCTGCATATTCTGGATAGCATATAGTGAGGGGGCTCTTTTTGATTTTCTCTTCGAAGAGATCCTTCTTGTTTAGAAAAAGTATAATAGATGTATCTGTAAACCATTTGTTGTTACATATGCTGTCGAACAACTTCATGCTTTCATGCATTCGATTCTATAATAGAAAAGAATATAATCAGTTTGTCATAATGGCAAGGATTTTGAGAAATATTACTGTTAAAAAATAAATGTAACAAAATAGAGCTTAGTCAACTGAAAAATAGATAATATAGCACGAAATTACATTTCTGGCACTTAAAATCAAACACTTTGATTTTAGGTGAGGCGAGTGTCCACATCACTCATTACTTTTGCAGTCAATCAGGACAGGCTGAGTGTCCACTACGTGTCACTCTGCTGGGAATATCCTGCTGCAGGACCTTGCACTCTAGAGATTCCAAGTGCGAACATTTGAAAATATATCATTATTACAGAGTTAACTGAAGTTTCCATTAGAAGTAGAAGTTTTTAAAGATTAATAAATTAAACTGAGCAAGCTGAAACAATTAGCCCAATGCCCTAAATATAAAGGTATGTTAAGGAAGGATACCTCCCGTTTCCTGCCCTTCCAGTATCTGGTTTCAAAAAGGGTACTGATATGTTTGATAGTGAGTGCCAAAATTATAGAAATGAATATATGATAATACATTGCACCATAACTGGATATTTGATTTAATAAAAATATAAAACTGTGTCTACGGCCATGCTACCCTGAACAAGCCCGATCCCGTCTGATCTTAGAGGCTGAGCAGGGTTGGGTCTGCTTAGTACTTGGATGGGAGACCACCTAGCCTAAATAAAAAAAATATATATATATATGTGTGTGTGTGTATATATATATATATATATGTGTGTGTGTATATATATATATATATACACACACACACACATATATATATATGTATGACATTTTTACCTTTTTGTACTGAAGTTAATTTGACAGTTTTAATATTTTACTTAAAAATAGTTCCCCAAGAACAATGGTATATTGAAATACACCTGAAAATTACATAGCAATAGCAAGGTATGACACAGATCTAAGATTACTGAACTGGCAGAAGTAATAAGTTAAGAAAAAGAAGCCTCGGACTATTATGAACCTTTTCATTCAGTATGTAGATAGTACCAGATATAAGAAATATACAGTTAAGCACATAGGGTTGAGGTGAGATTAATTCTCAGTCTTTTTCTTTTTCTCAAGAGCCATCTGTGCTTCTTTAGTATGCAAAGAGAAAAGTTGGAGAAAAGAGCTCAAACTTTCAAATAATTTAGACATCAGCGAAAATTTCTCAATAATTCTCAGAAAAATTCTTGGCAACACTTTCAGCTCTTCATATTTCATGCTCAATCTTTAAAAGTGGTTCTACTTGCCATTTCTTCATCTTCGGCTAGAACTAGGTCATAGTCACTGAGCGCCACACAGAAAATGATGGCGGTCACTCCTTCGAAGCAATGGATCCATTTCTTCCGCTCAGATCTCTGTCCTCCCACATCAAACATTCTGTAGTGAAAAAATAATGAATCTGACATCATATTACATGTCTAAAAACTCCGAGGAGTTTGACAGTATCAACAAACATGCAACAAACTACAGGGGGAATGTGAGATGAAAAGGAGAAAAGGACTTTTCTGGGAGAAAAGTAATAGCAGAAATTGGTTTATAAAGTGGAAAAATAGTTCTGTGGGTTTTTAAAAATTTTTGATTAAAGGTAGGGTATTTCAAAGCCAAAAACCTTCAAAACAACACATGCGTTAATACCTGAGAACACTCAGCACATTAAAACAAATAGAAATGAATAGACTGCACTATGTATAAACACAGAAGTCACATGAAGCAACTAGGGAATGCAGAGAGAATAGAGAATAGAATATTCAATCTGCCAGTGTCATGAAACATTTGAGGCAGAGGACAAAGGCCCCTCTTCTCGCAAAATCTTTTCTCTCAGAAGCAATAAGCAGGACTTTGACATGAAAGAGAAATCATTCCAGGTACGAAAAAGCTGAGTGAGTCATATTCAGATAGAGGCCAATAGATTACCTAAATTAAAAAGTAAACCAGGGTATAAAAAAAAAGTGAGAGATGAAATATGAGATACATGGGTGGCCCTAATGAATAGTCTTAAAATTTAGAGTGCAAAAATTCAATTTTTACATAATATACAACAGCAGATCACAGTAGGTTAGTGTACAGTGTAAGCAACACGATTCAAAAGTATAAAGACAATGATTTTTCCTCTTTTTCTGTAAAAGTTTACTAAGTTAAGCTAAAGTTGAAATTCGCATAGAGTATGTTATGCAACCTAGAAATAATCGCTTATATAATGGAAACACTATGCAAACTGGTACATTTTTAAAGGCTCCATTTATCTAGATGGTGCACTAATTAAAACAGTCCCTATTTAATTCTTAGAGAGCAAAAAGAATTTTCCCTGCAGTATTGGCCTATAACTCAAATCTGAGTACATCAACTAGTATTTATCATCATTTAAGTGGCCTTCATTTTATTGATTTAGTTAGTAAATTGTTCATTAAGTTTAAGCATGCTATATAACACAATGATTCTACCACAGAATAAAATGGGTAAGATATGAAAAGGACAGCTGGTAATAAAAATCAAACGAGAACGAAATAAACTAAAATGATTACGCATTTGTTAAACTGCCAAGGAACACAATATGAAAGAACTTTACCAAAAAGATATTTTGTAATTATTTTTAATATATTTTAGATAACTTCTCTGATCAAATGTCACATATTTCCTGACCATTCGATATAAAGTAACACTCAAACCCACCCCAACCCACATTTTCCCTCTATAATAGTTGGTTTTATATGTCAGTTTGGCTATCATATGTTATTCCATTGAATGAACATGAATCTATGTGCTGCTGCGAAGGTATTTTATAGTTGTGGTTAATATCTATAATCAGTTGACCGTCAGCAAAGGAGATTATTCTTGATAATGTGGGCAGACCTCGTCTTTTCAGAAGAAAGGCCTTAAGAGCAAAAACCAAAGTTTCCCAGAGGAAAAAGAAATTCTGCCTAAGACTGAAGCGTCAGTTTCCATCAGAGCTTGCCCTACAAACTTTGGACTTGTCCAGCCTCCAAAGTCATGTAAGCCAATTCCCTGAAATAAAGAGAACCTACTGGTCCTGTTTCTCTGGAGAACACTGACTGATACCAATTTTAGTACACAGAGTGGGATGCCACTGTAACAAATACCTAAAAATGTGCAAGTGGCTTGGAATTAGGTAATAGGGTAAGAATACTGAATTACTTGACAGAATAGGCCAAGACTTCCTTGAAATGATGGCTGGTTAGAAATATGGACACTAAAGGAGATTTTGGTGAGACTTGGATGGAAGTGAAGAGAATGGCAGAAAATCATGATGAACACAATGTTAGGAGAGAAATGTATGTTAAAGATACTTTTTATGAGATCGCAGAAGGAAATGAGACCCATGTTATTAGACACTAAAGAAGAGACAATTTTTTTAAGTGGCAGAAACACTGCTTAGCTGTGTTCTCATACTAGATTTAAGATAGAACTTGATTATTTAGCTGAGGAAATTTCTCAAAAGCAAAGTATGCCTCATTTCTTCTTGCTCTTATAGTGAAATATAAGAGGAAAGAGAAACTATGGTATGAGCTGTTAAGCAAAAAGGAACCAGACACACAGGGAAGAAGACCATGTGATGAAGGCCCAGAATTGGAGTGATGCGGCTATAAGCCAAGGAACACCAAGGACTGCCAACCACCAAGAGCTAGAAGAAGGCAAGGGAAGATTCTTTCCTATAGCCTCCAGAAGGAGTATAGCCCTGCTGACACACTGACTTCAAATCTCTGGCCTTCCGAACTATGAAAGAATAAACTTCTGTTATTTTATGCCACCTAGTTTGTGGCACTTTGTTACAGCAGCTTTATTTTTCACTATAGCAATTATCATCCCTTGAGTATTAAATATTTATTTACTTCACACTCCCCACACCCCACATACACAATGTAAAGACAAAAACTTTATTTTGGTCACTTTACATCCCCTATACAGGACTACACAAGTACTTCATAAATATTTGTTGAATAAATAAATGAACTGTGTCTGCAGAATATTTTAAAACACTTTCAAACAATAACAGACTAGCTTTACCACCTTAAAGATCTAGATTTTCCAGCTATGCTGTGAGAATGTTAAATAAAGAGCTTTAACTTGACAAGTAATTTAATACAGAAAAAAAAATCTCTTCAATTTAATTTAGAAATGAATGAGAGTCATTGATATGTTGATCATAAACAAAGAACGGTCCATCTAAGCCAGTGCTTCGCAAACTTTAGTGTGCATCAGAACCACCAGGTGCGAACAGTTGATGCTGTTGATCTGAGGACCATACTTTGAAAATTCATAAGCCAAGGGGCAAAAATGCCTAAGAACTGATATTATAATGATTGGAAGGTGCAGAGAGTATTGTTTCATGTATACATTAGAAATTATCTTCATTTCTATTAAAAAACAAAAACAGAACAAAATTATAATATGTTCTTCATATGAAAAGAGGAGACTTTTGACTAGCATCTAATAGGGACTGAATCTGAGTTTTCTTAAGTTTGTTTGTTTGTTTTTTTTTAGAGGGAATCAGGGAAGATGAAAGGGGATACTGGAGATCATGAAATGTGCTGACTTATCTTCAAACTGTCATGTAATACCATTGTGACCAAGACTGGTACAAAGCTAGTTGACCACATATATAGGGATCAACCCCACAAATACGACATTGCACTCCAACACCTATTATACATTTATATTACCTAGAGAAAAAAAATAGAAATGTCTTATATTATGATAATATTGTAATAGCAGGGATGCTATAATTCGGTATTTGGCAAAAATATCGTAGTAAAATAAAACTGTTGATTCTTTAAAGCAAAATAATCCATGTAGACGCTTTCTACCATAAATGCCTAGTCAGAGGATAAGATATATTTTTAAAATATAATGCCTTATTGCCGCATTTTGAATTTACTTCCAATCATACCACAAAATAAGTGATATTGAAATTTTACATCAGCAGTTAAAATCAGACAATGAACTATAACGCAAAACACAAAAAATGATAAACACGCTCGAGTCCCCAGTAGAATTATTCTAAGTACATTTATGCCTTCATTATCCTGAGGATCATTTAACACATAAAAAGCAAATCTGGAACCATATGTTAGCAATGATAGTAATTTCAAAGAATTCTAATCCAAAATAAGACAAAGTTTATCTGAATTCAGTTCCTGACAAACCTATGTTTAAGTCAGCAAGTGAAAACAGTAACTAAATACCTCCTGTGAAATTCTACCTCACCAAAGGAGACTAAACAGAGCAAAACAAATGGACTTCCTGGAAGGATCATGGTGAGAGACAACTTTACTGAATCCTAGTACTTGCCTGTTGTTGAAATGACAAGTCTGAGAAATCTAGGATGACAATAAACAGTATGGTCTGAAAACGAATGCTTAAGGTGAACGTAACCAGACTGAAAGTGAATTTCACAATCAGATTGCCTTAAGTACCAAATAACTGACTTAGTATTTACTATTGCCATTTCTCATAATTTACAGAACTCTCCTTTCTACATCACTTCCTTTATAGGTAATAACTCATTTGATATTTAAACTTTTGACAATGTGCAAGATAGTAACACTCTTTGTTAAGAATCTTAACCAGGTTTGCCCATTTACTTAACAGGGGCATGGATCTAGAATCCTTACTTGCTAATCCCATACCCACGCGTTTTCTCCTCAAGCATTGAGGTTAGAACAAAACCATTATCTGAACATAACAGTTTAAGTTTGCTATAGAATATGGTCTTTAAAGCAAGGTAAATAAAAAGCAAAAAATCAGAATCTAAGGTGACCTAGAGTTTAAAAAAAACTTTAAAGCTTCATTCTAACAGTGAACTTCCTTATAATTAAAATCACTTCATAATTTTCTCAGATAAGATATATCAGATTATTTAAAATAACAATATTTTCCTGAGTTTAACCATTTAATATTCTAGAAGTAGTAAGCAGATCAAAGAGGTAAATGATTTCAATAAGAGATGAGAGCAAAAAAAAAAATTCCCACTGACAGCTTAAAACATAGTTAAACAGAAAAACAAAAAGCAGATGCAAAACCATACGGTGTATTAAAGCACAAAGCTACAAGGTCAGATAAATTAATTATGGTCTATATCTTTAAGAAGCAGGGCAATGTTTGTTTTTTGGAGGGAAGCTGCTATGGAAAATTGAAATTGAATTTTAATTTTCTGGAAAACTCAATTATATGAACCACTGAACATGAGATAAATTGGTGATAAATGATAATAACAAATGTATTTTAAAATACTTATGGAGGGAATCAGAGGTATAGTTGCATATATTTAATTGTGCTTTCCACAACTTGTCACTGTCAGCTTCTTTATGAAGTGAGTTAATGGTTATTTTTGTTTATCTTTGACTAGGAACCTTTTTTTAAGATCTTTTGAGAAACTGCTTTATCATTACTGTTTCACAGCATTAGTGTTAACTGAAGCAGTTTTTCACATACTTTGAAAATTGTTACTTACTGGAAAAAGAAAAATGTAGTTCTGTAAATGTGAATATAATGTTTGCCTGAACTTTCCTGAGCCTCCTTCATTATAAAATGAGCGACCTGAACAAAATGAACTCCGAGATCTCTTCACTTCTGAAGGCTACTACAATTCAGTGCTTCCCTCTTCAGGCCTCAAAGAGTTAATAATCAGTACACTCTAAATTAAATGAACATTTTTTCATCAAGAAATAGTGTAAATATCAGTTTGCATGAATACAAATTTTCCTGAAAAAGTTTTAAAAGGTATCTTTTAACTATTTCCATAAATAAGCATATACCTATCAGTAAAACTCATAGCTTTCTACCTGAAAATAGATGGCAACACATTCCCAAAATATACATTAGAGCAGTATTTCCTATTTAGAAATAAAAGCCAAAAACTATTTTTATTTGTCACTGTGAAAAATATAAGTGTAATGAATTTGTACGGCTATTTTTCTTAAATAAAAAGATAAATATTCCTAAGAATGTTTCTTGCCCTTTTTCACCCCAAAATTCTTTTTTCCAATCATCCAAGAAAATATTTTGTAATTCCAACTCCAAATTTTTTAAAACTTTTATAACTTTTTCCTAAACAATGTTTTATATCTAAATTTGTAAATCATATGCTTTGAAGCTACTCACTTAAAGTGAAGATCTTTGAAAGTAAAATGGGTTTCAACAATTCCTGTAGTTTTCACTCTAGTTCTGAGAACATCTTGTTGAGTTGGGATGTAATTTGGTTGTGCTATTCTGTCCAAATCATTCAAATAGCTGAAAAAATAAACAAAAAAAAATATGCTAATAGTTAATATAGCCAATAAAGATTATCTAAATCAAAGAGTAAGACATTTTGATGCATGCAATATTCCAAGTTACTGGAAATTTTTACATTTTTGTGTAATCATGTAATACAACCAATTTAAGTTTATATCTTACACAACTCTCACTGAAATGAAAATGTTTATACTTCTCCAGCCACAAAACTCTTCTAACATTTTTTAAATGTTATGTACTTTGTTTCTTAAAGACAGTAGTTAGTAATTCTCCTTGTTGGGAAATAAAACAGACTAATAATAACTTCTTAAATACCCCAAATAACTGTATACCATGTTTCTTAAAATTCTTCATTTTATTTTTTTTTTAATGTAGCACTATGTTTATGTTCCAGATGTTACTATTTTGTTGAGGTTATTGATGCATGCAATATTCCAAGTTCTAGATGTTACTATTTTGTTGAGGTTTTTAAACGTCTCATTTTTTGAGAGGGTAGTGAGGAAACCTCTGGCAAAAGGCTGAATTCGATGTTCCTTTTTAACCAGCCTTCTGATACAGACAGGAAAACATTATACATGATCCTTCGCTCTGCATTTTACTGGCTCTCTAAATCAGTATTCATATTTTACTTCTGATTTTAGTCACTCATTCAACCCTCTCTGCCAATGATGCCAAACATGTTATATGAAAATAACATACCCTGCAAATAATTTTGTGTAGTTTTGTGTCTAATTATATAGTAGCGACCATAATGTTATAGAAAGTAGAGGAATAGAGATTAATGTGAACCCGAGTAGTTAGAGAAGGATTTATGGATAGTGAGGGGTGTAAACAGAAATCTGAATGATGGGACAGAAAAAAAGGATGTCATTCATATTGGGACAAGCAGTGTAACAGTATGGAGGAAGGAAGGGTCACATCTTGTTTCACAAGAAGTAAGGCCACTGATAGATTATGCACATCCAAAAATGCAAGAAGTCTGGAATGAATCCTAATGTCCCGTGAATGTGGGGAGCATCACTGCATTGTTTTGTAATACTAGTGGAGGTTGTGAAAGTATTTAGAAAATAAATTTAAGTACAGAGAGGCACCAACTATTACAACTTTAATTGATGTTTATCTTCTGAAACTATCCTTAGTCATTTAGAACAGGGTCTTGCAAACAAAAAAGAGCTCAATAAATACTTGATTTGTTGAAGACTGGAATTTCTGGAGCTAGAAAAATATCTAAACACTGAATTAGTAACCAAAAATGTTTTAGACAGCTGAGTACATATATATGGTATTGACACACAAGAATACACAAAGATATAGCTTGAGTTACTGTACTGTACTTACTAAATTTAAAAGAATGTTATTATCTTATTATTGCATTGGGAATAATCCTCCAACACTTGATCTGTTTTTAAATCCATATACATAACAATATACCTTATTTTAAGAAAATCTGATTTAATAAACAAACTAAAAAGGCCATGGTAAGATTTTACTAATTGTCTCTATGAATTACTCTAACTACTCTTATTTAAAATGTGCTGATTACTCATAATTTCTTTGCTTAAGACTGCTATAGTTCTAACAGACTCTTAAAAAATGCATTTACGCATTTTAATAGGACAAAAAAAGAAAAATAGGCACTGTGAAAAATTCCAATTGTTTTAAATAATCAGAAATTTAAAGTATAAATTGGTACTTAGACAGTCTTAATAGACAACTTGGCAGTATCCCCCATCTCCAGTCAAGAACTCAGAAATCAAAATGCCCTGTAACCACTATAGAGAAAAAGATTTCTAAGACTTCATTCTTGAAAATGGCTCCATTACTGCCATCTTAAGGTGAGAACTACTAACAATGAAATAATGGGGAGCCAAAACGATTTATTTTTTTCTATGCATGTCCAAGCACTGTGCACAGGAAAGAGGACATTGGTCAACAGACTGAGGGGGTCCAGGAAGTTCCCCTACATGGGGAAACAAAATTCAATCTATTGTCCCTGAGAAGCACACCTTAATTATTGAAGCAGTTTCTCTTGCTGGGCTCAGCTCAGAGAACTCTTCCGACCTTAACAGTGGCTCCTCTTTAGATTTTTCTGCAGGTGCTGGTGGTGCCAAAGCATATATTTTAAGTCTAAGAGTTGTGTATTGCTCTAAAAATTTTTCTTCTAATTTCAAGACTCTGTAAAGTTTGGCTTATTATTTTGTTCATTATTAAACAAGGGTGTACTGAGTGATGACTATAACATGTCAGGCAATGGAGAAGAACATTGGGCAAAAACAGACCTTACTGAATTTATAGTACACTGGTAGTGAAAGAAAATAATCAAATAGTCTCAATATAAGTATAAATTAAGTTACCTCAAAATAAATGTAAACTTGTGAGTGCTAAGAAAGAAAATATATCATATTATGAGTACATAAAACAGAGAGAAATGAATATTTCTTAGAAGTGAGATATCAGTTGGAGAGATGGGCTACCCATTCAATAAGATGTTACATATACATATCGAAACTACATATGTAATAATATGATTTATATATTTGTAAAACATTAAAAATACAGATTAAGAAATACAGTGTTATAAAAATTGCTATGGGTTATACAATCATGTGGATTATTTATTCATTCACATTGTATCATGTAACACATACTGAATACTCTGATGTACAACAAATAACATGCCATATAATAATGGGGTATGATTCCCGAGGCCAGGTTTTTCACTGTAGCAAAGTGTGTGTGTGTACTTACCTAGACCTTCCAATGCCTAGTATCACCTATCTAATCCTCACTTATGTCCCTAAGAACCAACAGCCGTGTCAAGAATACGAAACAAACTTGGAAAGTAAACTTAAAAATAAAAAAAAAAACATGCTTTAAGACTAATTAATGCTACTCATATCTGCCTTGAGTATGTGTGCCAAATTATGGGGAAAAAAATACTTGATTTTTTAAATTCTATGTAGATCACCAAGCAGAAACTCCCTGATTAGGTTTTATCACAACCTGCTTTACAAACTTGCTGGGCAACTGTCTGAAAAATAAGTGCACATTTTTCTTCTAAAAAACAGTACTTAGATATCTATAAACAACACCTAATGCAACAGGGAACATAAAATTGACAATTTTCAAGTGTAAAGCTATTTTGCTCAGTGAGAAAATATCTTGGGCTCACCATGTGCCCCTTCAAATGGGGTGCATATCATTCAAGGTACCTGTTATTGGACAATTAACTCTTCTCAGGCACCATTAGTATAATGAAAAGAACCCAAATCAGTTATCCTCCTTTCTGGCTAGTCCCAGGCAAACTAGAGAGAAATCCGCATTCAGAATGAACTTTGGGAAATTCCAATTACTTTCTTGGAAATATATTGGAAACAGTCCCATTCTGCATGTTTCAATTAGAGTTACATAAGCAGGGGTCTCTTGAGACACTTTTAAATACAAAGAAAATAACAGCATTGCTATCTACAAACACACAAAGACAAAGTTTTCAAATGTTGTTATCCAGAGTTTTATAAGAATGTGCCAGCCGATTCTGCAATAAAATTGCCTTAGAAGTATATTTGACTTGCAAGTAATTATTCATGATAGTTTAGTTCTGAAGTTATGATTACTTACTAAGCTGCAGAATCATTAAGCTGGTACTCCCGGGATCTGTTGAAACAGGCTTGCACACCACTATCTTTCCACAATCTCTTTATAACTCCAGCAAGTTCTGCAGTCATAAAACCTTCTTCAGCAGCTCCAGCAAGCACAAAGAGTTGGCGGGCATCATCCTGAACATTCAAAGACCATTTTTTAAAAAAAAGTAAAAAGGGACTCTTTACAGATTAAAAAATAAAAAGGGGGGTGGGGGTATTACAAATGATAAAAAGTACAACAGTAAATTTCTTTTTTGTTTTTTACTAGAGTCATAACTTATTTCTCTAAAGCACCACTTTAAAAAGTTGGCTCACCATGTTTTGTGGTTTCTCTAAAGGTATCAAGGCACTAGAAAGCTGGAAGAATGACTACACTTACAGCTTATGAAGTGATATTAAACCAACTATCTCCACTGATGGTCTGTTGTACACTGAAGATAATCACTTTTTAGAAAACATAAGAATGTATGCCTTGCTCCTCTCTCCCAAAAATGTTTCTTATCTAAGAAATACATTAACAACATTGGAGATTATTTTAAGAAAGAATATAGTTAAATGTTAGCTTTCTGTCTTTATAGAAGCAAAATAGGTTCATCGAAGGGAGGAATCGATGTGGAATAAACAAAAAGAGTTTCACAGAATAATCTGAGATTTTCAGGAGACCTTAATATGTGTACGCAGTGTATAAATCCCTTATCTGCAGTTTCAGTTATCCGAGGTCAACTGAGGCCCCAAAATATTAAATTTCCGCATCCACCGATATTATCTGCTCCTGACATCCAACCATGACATCACAGGTGGATGATTCAGGATCACCCAAATCAAATGATCCTCCTTCTGACATCATCAGAAGGTCAGTAGCAGCCTAAGGCTACATCACAATACCTACATCATTCACCTCACCTCATTTCGGCATGTAGGCATTATACATATTATCACATATCATCACAAAAAGGGTGAGTACAGTACAGATTTTGAGACTATATTCACATAACTTATTCTAATTATTTTATTTATTATTGTTGTTAATGTCTAACTGTGCTTAATTTATAAGTTAAACATTATCATAGCTATGTATGGATAAGAAAAAACAGAGTATATATAGAGTTTGGTACTGAGATTTCAGGTATCCACTGAGGGTCTTGGAACACATGCCCCACAGACAAGAGGGGATACTGCACATTAAAATCAATGGGCCAGGAGATCGGGGCAGGTGTTTGCTAACACAGGTATAGAAAACAAAATAAGCACAGCTTTGGAATAGAAATAATCATGACGAATACAGGAGACAGCATGCAAAGAATTTAAATAAAGGAATACTGTATATAAAAGCTAAGTTTTCCTTAAGTTTTGAGGCTACAAATATTTAGTTATTCTGATCCACAGTAAGTCAGGGCTGTCCAAAGAAATATAATGTGAGCCACCGATGATATTCTAAATTTTCTAATAGCCACATTTCAAAATGTGAAAAAGGTAAAATTAATTTGACCATGTATTTTATCTAACCTATCATGTTATCAATATAAAATTATTAGTGAGACATTTCATATTATTTTTTATACATATTTAATCTTTGAAATCTGGTGTTTATATTATACAGACAAGACATCTCAATTCAGACTAGACACATTTCAGATACTCATTAGCCACATGTGGGTGGTAGCTACAGTGCTGAACAACACAATTCTACTCTTTAGGTAATAACATGGTCCAAAAATAGGGGAGATGTGAAGTTGCTGTCTTCATAAGAGATTCTCTTTTGACTGAGACTTGTAGCTTTATGTTTATTGGGTGGATAATCCCTATTTTTTTTCAAAGGGCATTTTTCCAAAGTATTATAGTAGATGTTTATAAAGTAGTGGCACACATAAGGTGTACAGAAGAGAAGCATTTGGTGACACCGACAAGCAAAAGGTACTAGCTGACAATATAAATTCATTCTGCTGCCAATTTGTGAAACATTTTCTTTTCAGATGGAGCCACCATCATGAAAAATAATTAAGTCTCTCAGCATGGGAACATATTAGTTGAGCATATGTTTCCCTTTTTAGTAAGTCACATGAGAAATGCATGCAGCAGGTAACACATGTTCAACATCCTCAATAAACCTCAAGGCAACATGGTTTCGAGTCATTGTTAGCACCATTTACCTAATCCCAGTAAACAATTATTCATTTTTCCAAATAATTACCATAGAGAAGTTTCTAAATCTGGTCATCTTTATTAATTAAACAACAACAAACGATTTTCTCCATCCATTTTAGAAAAGTATTTTTTCACTTAGTGAGTTTTTAAATGTTTCCATTATAATAAATTTATTTAATTGCAATAATATTTCTTGATACAAAGGACTAATATCTCATGGTATGGGTCATAAGATCACATTCTCTTCACATTTTCTAGGAAGAAGCCTGAAGAAAAGACATGAGAAACTCTGGAAGCTATATTTATAAACTGCACTCTCTATGACATTCAAAAATGTCTCTTCTCACAAAATGGAAAGTAGTCTCAAAAAAAAATTCATTTCCATGTCATTAGCAGGACATTCAGATAGTTAGTAGACGAAGAGTTAAGGTATCAAATTTAAGCAGAAAGATACTTTGGACACTATTCTACCCAATTTTTGGTTTTGTATAAAAAGAACCAGAGGTGCAGAGAGATTAAGCGACTTATTTAAAGTTCCATAGCTAAGTATTCACTCACTCACATATATCCGCTAGTCAACAATTAGTAAGCAGCCATTGTCTAAGACAGGATAAATTTAAATATTGCAGAATGATGACAATGATCCTTATCTTGCCATGAAATGAGGTCTTTTCAAGATTCTTGTAAAATAACATTACTAAGAAACATTTAGAAAGATAAACATGATTGTGCCAAAACAGTGTGACATAGGGTAAAAAAGGATAGAGATTACTGAAGAAAAGACTGGAGTTTAGTCAGAAGGGCTATGGGTTAGTAAACTAGTTTGCAGGTACTCTTGAGACGCTAAAAAGAAAGAAATGTTATTTGCCAGGCAATCCATGGATCCAGCCAAGTTAGTATTTTTTTGAATTACTACGAACTAAAGTAAAATAAGATAGTTTGAGAATATATGTTCTAGTTCACATAACTGCATGCTTTGGGAAATTCAGGAAATAAAAATGCTAGCATGTCAAAAGACACATAATATAGTCTCGTTTTCCACTGATGGTCAAGGAACACTTAACATACTGTATTTATTTAGTGACAGAACATTTTATTTGAAACTGTCACCCACTTTATAAGAATTCGGAAGTCTGTCCTCAATGGGAAAAAGGACTTTGATAGCTATCTTATGACATATTAAGGAAGGATCATTAAAGGAAAGAAAGAACAGACTTCGTGTTTAGGAACAGAGTAGAAAAAGGAGAATTTTTAGGTCAAAAGATATCAGACTTCAGTTCCATAAGAACACTTTTTAACAATCAAAGCCATCTAAAAAGGAGGGGGGAGGGGAAGTGAGAGATTGAAGTTTTTAAGCACAGGCTAAAATGATTATTTACTGTGATGTAGCAGAAGGTTTTATGAATGAGATTATGAGTTTAATTAGAAAACATCAGAAAGCCCTTCTACAATAGAGACTAAAAATTACGGTAAGAATCTTAAAAATAGCGACACCTAAGAATTTTTGGCCACAGGAATAATATATTGATGTCATGACTGATATGTTTCAATGGTTTAGCTCAATTATTTCACTAATAACATTAGCCATCAATACTAAACACCATATGTGAAAGGTACTTATTTAATCTACCACATTTCTATAGCATATAATCATGCCTATAAATTTAAGGCAGCTATATGGCTTTCATTAAAGTTAGTGTACCCGTAGAGAAATCCTGAAATGTAATGGAGTCCCTACTCCATGGCTCATGGTGCCGATCCCAGACACTAAAGAACTGCTTTGAATAATACATAAATGTAAAACATTTTTCCTCCTCTAAAAACACAAATGTAGTGTAAGTAAAAAATGACAGAGGCAAGGAAATAGGATGTCATTTTTCCTTTTTCCTATAGCATGCTTAAAAGGAGTTTGAAAAAACCTAAAAATAAAATGTTAATTTTAACTGCAGACAGCAGAAATCCTAACTAAATTGCAATGAGCATGAGCTTCATTATATCAAGAAGAGAAATTATAATAAATGTGTTACTCAAATATAACTTTTATGTATTTATGAATCTTGTAAGTATATTTTTAAAGTTAATAAAAAAAAAGTGACAGGTTCTACTGTCCGTACAAGAGATAGATACAGAAATATGGGATAACTGATACATGATTGAGGGAAATAGAAAAATACTGTGTTGGAGGCACATACTATATTTCAAATGAAAGTTAATATCACTTTGCCATATACATCAATTGATATTTCTCAGAATCAAAAACAATGTAATTCTATAACCTCATTTTGTTCTGAAACATAAACTGGAATACAAAACTAATTCAAATATTTGGAAAAATAATGAGTAGAAATAACTGAACATTTATAAACAGAATACTGGGGAAGAAGGGCTAAAATTATCAGATATTAAAAGCCTGCCATATGCCTAGTATTAATGTAGATCAATAGGGAAAAAATCCTAAATTTGAACTTATTATGATAAAGGCAGCAAGATAAATTAGTAGGAAAGGATGTGATTATTAAAAGGCACTCATAAATAATCAGATAGTCTTCAGAAGATGAAAAAAATATAGACCCTTATTACATGCATACAAAATAAATAAGTTTCAGAGGGATTAAAGAAAACAAGAAACAATGTTAAAATTCATTCCCTTAAAGTATTTTAAAATAGTATGAGTATCTGATAAATCTTTGGTTGAGAAAAAGTTTTCTAAATTTAAACATAATGGAAAAAAATTATAGTGGAAGAAAACCGGAAACACAGATTAAAGTCAAGAAAAATGTGAGAAAACATTATTAGTGGACGAAAGGTTAATACATATGTACATAAAAACAAACAAATAGATAACCAAACGACCAATACTCCAACAGGTAAATGAATAAGGGGTGAAATATGCCGCTAACAAAGAGAAAAAAATAGTCAATAAAGATATTAAAAACTGTAAAATTACACTTAAAAAATTGAAAATGCAAATGAAATTGAAATAAAATTTACTAATAAATTAACCAGTACTTTTTAAATGGAAAGTCTCCTAAATTCTGGCTACCCAAACTGCTAAAAAAGAGTCCTCTCCTAAACTGCTGCTGGAAAGGTAAATTGATATAACCTTTCCCAAAAGCAATCGAGAAAATCTGGCAGACAGACATAAACTAGTGAAATAAATTACAAAATTAAAGGAACAGAAAAGTAGCCATTATCCAGGAGCATGCTGAGGCTTGAGAGAGAAAGGGAGCTTGTTTAAGTCAATTCAAGGCAACAATTCAAGGGACACAAACATTTCCAGGTTAGTGAAGAGAGAAATTTAAAGAAATAAAACTATAAAAATTCTAAAAAAATAAGAGTAGTTTAAAAAAAATAGTAAGTTGAAGATATCTGTCTAGTAAGACAAACACAGAAATCAGAATTGACTGGAAAAAAAATAAGAGTTCTGTAACAAGAAAAATATTTCAAAAAACTAAAAGAAAAACATTGAGCAAAAATATTTGCAAAATATAAAAGGGTTAATACTCCTAATATTTAAAGAGAAACAATGTGAACAGGACAAGTAATTTAACAGAGTTGATTGAAAAATATTAAGAGGAGTTTGCAAAAGATATACAAAAAGACAAAATATTCTCCACCTCGGTAAAAAAAAATTGGGAAAAAACTAAGGAAAAAAGATGATATTTTTAACTCATGAGATAATAAAAATTAAAATGTTGATAATATCTAAGTTAGTGAGATTCTGGTAGACACTGATGCATGGTTGCTAGAAAAAGTTATTCACATCGCTTTTCTTCTGAAGCAAATCTCCGGTACTTATCAAAATTAAATATCTGGTTACCCATCGACTCAAGGATAATCCTTCCGGGAACTGATACCCTAAAAAAAATTCACTCTTTGACTATAATTGTTTCTTATCTGTAGAATGCCTTTTCCTTGTTTTTGTCTAGAAAACTCTTACACATTTCGTTACCAAGCTCCAACGTCCCTTCCTCACGTCTAAGCCATGTTTAATTCATCTTTGCATTCCTTAGCACAATTCCAAGAGCCTCATAGTATTTTAAAGATTGTGCGAAGGCAAGGCAACACAAGACATAGAGGGGACTCACAAAACCAGTGTGGGAGCAAAAAGGCATTTGCGTGAAGGAGTTAATAACAATAGCTAAAGCAAACGGAAGTAATAAGCTGAAGGTAAAAAGTTACTAGGCTACAGCTAGAGAAAAGTCTAAAAAGAATAAAGGTTATGGTAAGAGCCGTTACTCCCAGCAGTCCTGAAACTAAATTCAAGCAATGTTGTTAAAAAAAAGAAAGCAGAAAATGGCAACATTCCTTGAGAGAAAAATATAAAAAGACTTCATAACTGCTTGCAATGACCCTTCATAACCTCCTATAACGTAGGCTACAAAACCTTTCTAAGAATCACATATAAGATATAAATGTAGAATACTATATGTAAACTTGATAAAAGGTTTAAATTACCATAATTGGAATTAGTGTAAATTACAATTTGTACTAATTCCTTCTTTTATCTAAAGGCGGTTCCCTTCTACGTAAAACTAAGCTTAAAAAGCGTTTGTTGAATGAATCCATGATAAATGAGTAAGTTACAGACTGAATGGATAGTAGATAACATAAAACATGTCTGGATAAGATCAAATCTTGTTTCAGAAATGACAATTTAGAAGAATGTTATGAACTATTATTAAAAATAATCTTGAAATCTACTTGAAAATTTTAATTCATTACACTAAGCTTTTAAATCTTTGTTTAAAAGAGCTTAGCAAATTAATATGTCCCAGTAACTTAAAAAGAAATTTTAGACTAACTCACAAAAAATAAACCATTTATTTTACAAATTTCTCCAATGTATATTTTCTAATGTCTTCTCTCATTTCTTTTCCTATTAAACATGAATTAAGTCTCTATGTTAAAAAAAAAAAATGGAGCGAACACTAAGGTAACAAAAAAGAAAAGTATTCAAAAAATCTTCATAGTGTTAGTAGTGAGGTAGCACACACGCATATTAAATACATAAAAACATGAAGAAACTATAAAAAAAGGAGTAGCAGCAGTAGAAATAATAATACATCTACAATGTACAAAAAAATAAAAATAAAGCTGGATACTCAGTTAAAAAGGTTTCTGAGAAGGTCAGGTTTAAGACTAGTTATTAAAAAAAAGAATAGTGAAAAAAACTACACACAAAAAATAAAACTTGAAATAAACAGATTAAGCAAGCAAATAGGTGAAAAGAGGAAAAGGAAAATGTCATATGGACTAGGCCAAGGCTACTTCCAATCAAACTGAAAACAAGTTATTGAGCCAAATTAGGAAGCATAGGCACAGTGCCCTGGTAACCACCAACTGAGTGGCAATCTTTCCATCATGTAATCTCTCCCGGATTCCGTTTCTCTACTGATAAAATAGGGGGTAGAACTAGCTTGTACCCTACAGTTCTTGTCCCTTTAGTGCTGAAATTCTGGTATGTGTTTCCTAACAGCCAATATTTTCCTTCCAAAAACATGCAAACTTTTATTGTTCTCATATGAGATTAGATTGCTTTTTATTCCAGGCATAAATACAAATAATTAGATCATTTTAGCATTCCAAACTACAGAAACAAATTTTGACAAGTGCCAGTGTAGGCAGTTTACTAAACTTGGCAGTATCGACTAAAAATTGTTATGGAGATATGGGAGAACCCAGTATCACTTGTTACAGAGAAAAGATTGGAATGGTTACTGAGTTGTCCAAACTATCTGATAGATAAGGAAAGTAGTCTAGCTGTAAAGGAAAGATTGCACCATCCTGTGTGTTCTTATTTCACTCATTTCTAAAGCTTCTGACTCACTTCACTTACTATCCTTTTGACTTCTTTTATAAAATAGTCCTGAGATAGCTGATAAATCTGTCATGTACTATGGTATTATCATACAAGTGATTCTTTTTACTCATCAGGCATGCTGCAAAGAATTTAATAACTTACCGCCCGAGCTGAGTCACCAAAGTCTATCTTCAACCTCCCCATGGCCCTTATGATAGCAATAATTGACTGAATGGTGTTACTGTAGACCACTGCTTTGTACTGTTTACATTCCTCTTCCGAATAACCAGCTTCGTGGATAATTCTAACGAGACAAAAAGGAAAAGAAAATACTTACTTCCTTTGATGGAAAAGTACACTTAAACACAAAGAACAAATTTGTTTTAAATCTACTTACTTCATTTGCTTCACAATTGTACTTTTCCCCGATTCACCAGCACCTAAAAAAAGTAAGTGTATAGAATAAGAGATTTCTAACTTCATCACATATGTATCCAACTTCTAACACAAAAACACACACACACACTTTCTCTTACAGCTGAATTGTTTTATATCAAAACTATCTTTGTTGTTTTCCAAACACATAGAAAAGTTCTCAAAACTAAGTCCCATCTTAGTTTTATTACTTCATATTTAAATTCAATAAATAAAACTCAACTGAAAAAAATATTCTCCATTGCATTAAAAATTTCAATCTTTTATAACTTGAAGCACTATAAATTAGTTTTATTCAAGATTTTGCTCCCCACTGGAAGACGTTTAAACTCTTTGGCCAATTATCATAATTTTATCTTTGCCTCTTATGAAGTAGACGGCAGTGGTGCCAAGAAGCCACATAAAAAATAATTTTAAAATTATATGTTAAAATAGCCATGTCTCATGCAATTATGGTCAACCACCATTATTAAACAACTGACATATAGCCAACATAATTTGTTAGCACCAGGAGGCAATGGTATGCAGGGCAGAAATGTCTCCCCATTTTTCTAGCTTCTCTGTAACCCAAGTCATAAACCCGTTCTCGAAACTCTCCTTCACTCTCTACGTATACAGCTCTGCTTACAGTTTGAGTCCCTAGTACTATGCCATCGTAACATCAAAAATATTACTGATGACATGGCCTTTTATAAAGTAGAGCCCTCTTATCCTTCACAATTAACAGTAGCTGCTATCCTTACATAAATTTGCTCAATTATGTCTGGCTCCTCTTGATTGATAGATATTGAGACATCGTCATACTGACACAAAACAAATAAGATATGACAAGTCTATCATTTGGCTTCACATTTCTTTGGCCAGAGCTATACATCATGGATGTATTTATTACTGTTTGACAGACAGGGCTCAGGATTTTTATTACCTGGGCCCATATTCCTATTTTCCCAGTGCCATTCCTACAGTGCTTTCTACTCCCAAGCATTACTGAACAACTTACAGTTCCAAGAACACCTACTACTGATCACACCACAAATCTTCAAACATACTGTTTCCCTTGCCAAAGTGTGATCTGCTCTACTTCCTCTTGCCACCACCACAGTGATCCTCTATTAACCATCGAACTTATCTCCTTCATCAAGCTTTCCAGACCCACTGCCCATGTGATCCCTGTTGCCTCTCACTTTGCACATATTTCTATCTGAATTCTCAGCAGCTAATTTGCACTAGACATAGGCAATCAACCAGAAATATATTCGAATTTATTTAAGCTATTTATGGCTGATACAATTAGATGGCAAACTTCTGGACTTCATTCTCTCGGCCTCTTTCTCCCTCCAGCTACACACAGACGCACACATCCAAATCAGAGGCATTTGAGAATAGGTTATAGTTAAATGTCTTATTTGAAAATTTTGGAGAAAAATACTGCTTAAATTTTACTTGTGATCTGATATTCAAGAAAATTTTCCCAAGATATGGGCACATTAAGTAGAAAAGCAGGAATTGAATAAATAATGAGGGCATTCTTCATTTACAGACAGCCTTTGAATCTTTCGGGGCATCTGCCAATAAAAACAATTCCAATATAAACAACCCATTATTTATTAATCAACAAGAGTGTACTTGGTTTTGTGAAAAGCATAGTTATAGACATTTTGGCTCACGCATTCTCTGATTCCGAAGGTCCACTCCAAGAAACACATCCTAGGCAGTTTCCAGCAAAGCTATCTTCAAGAAGGCTCTCTAGGTTTCTAGAGCATTGCAAATTGAGTCAGCAGCAGCCATGCTGTGATCATGGGACATTCTAAATCCATGTAGCCTCACACAGAGGTGGCGATTCCATAAGCACAGCGAGATTCAATGAACAACCGCCCCATGGTCCATTCCATCAGTGAAACAACAACTCAAAGACCTAGAGAAAGACTCACATGCTATAAACTAGTAAGTAAGGTCTGAAAGCTATGTAAAGGGAGAAATAAAAAATAGTAAAGTGGCATGGGAAGCTTAGCTTACTTTGCAATGAGCATCTAGTCATGGCTTGTGGTTCAAAAAATCCTGAAATCTGTTTAACATTAAAAAGTGGGGACAGCTTTCTTATTAATTAAATTTCTACCTAATTTCTTGCTAGTCACAAGTACTCTGTGTGGAATACATATCCTAGAGGCAGAAACGCTGAAAAAAATACTTTTCAAAGCTTAGCAATTTTTGTAATTAGTTTTCAATTCTCACTTCCACACAGTCTTAATAGGAAAATTACAAACACTGCATGGTTATGGTTTCAACATTCTAAATACTGGTATTATTTCCACATAGAGTACAGGAAAGAGTTAAAGGTTGTTCTCTACAAATAAAGTGAGCACAGTCATGTTTGAAACACTGGCAGGAAGCAATATTATTTAAAAAAAAAAAAAAATTGGAAGGTAGCTGAGGGGCAGGGAAGGGAGAAAAAGGTAAATTTTCCTAACAGTGCTCAGCTAGGCAGCTATTGCTTTTCACCTAGATCCAGAGGTGGGATTAAAAGAGTTGGATTACTCTCCTTTCAAGAAGAAACAAGGAATATACAACATGTATTGGTCAGGAAAGATCAAAGTGTGTGACCACTGCTTAGTCACAAGGCCAGGCTGGTCAAGGTAACTAAGTGGCTTGTAAAGTAACTCTCAACAAGCTGGTCACTGTGAAAGAAGTGAGACTTTAGTGGGAAGGAACAGTAACTCCCAAGGAGTCAAGAGCGTGTGGAATGTGGCCATGATAGGCCCGTAACTATAAAGGCACGGGTAAGATCACTAAGGGCATACCTCAGGTCTCTAAGGAGGCAGTGGCTGATAGAAAATTCTATCTCTGAGAGCAAATATTTAGCCAAGCAGGTGTATGAAGTGGAGCTCGGCATCTGATAATAAGACACCATGCAGATGGTGGAAGAGCCTCCAGAGTAACACTGAGAGGGATCTCATCTGCAACTCTGGGTCTCATGGACTAGGAAATGGAAATGCATCAAGTTCAGACAAGTGGTGGTGGTGGTGGAGACTAAAATAAATCGAGATCTAAGTAAAGTAACCTTTGGCTAGATTCCAATTCCTTGAAAACAATTATGCCAAGTTATCATTATAAAAATGATAATCAAATTGTACCTACCTCTGATTTTGTTGAGGGACAGTATAGGAAATTCCAAGTTTTAACTGCTGGCAAAGTTTAAAAGAAAAAAAAAGAAAACCTCTGAGCTCAGAAAATACTTTTTTTTCCTAAGAAGATTCTTTTTCTAATTCTCTGCTTAGGGTCATATTTATATCATTTATTTTTCTTCGCTTCAGGATTATAAACTGCCCAACATCACAGGCTATTCAAAAACTATTAAAATGCTGATTTCAAATTATCTTATGCTGAATTCCTGACGCCACTACTCTATTTTTAAGAAATCCTACTTTTTATGTAGAATTTAACAATTAAAAATTTTCACATTGAATAAAACTAAATTACAATTTAGCTTAAACTGGAATAAAACCGAATTACAAGGGCATTTAAAGTCACTTCTGATTATCATAGTGCTACTATAAGATTAACAAGATCAAGGTCCTTATATTTTAAAAGCAAATAAAGGGCACAAGGGCAACTGTGAATTAAAAATAAGAGGCTTAATTAGCCCTGTTGAAAGATTTACCTCCCCTTCTTAGACATTTATTTTAGAAAAATTATCATTTTATGTAACTTTTTCTCTCTTTGAAATGTATGTGTGTATGTGTGTGTATTCCATACTTTTGGAAACCAACTAGGCTTTGGGGGTGGAGGGGAGCATGTTTATAACTCAAAATGTCTTTCTCCAGGACCTGGGAGCCATTTCTTTGAACTGTAAACATTAAGGGAGGAGATGGTGCCCATCTCACAGTTTTGGTGGGAGGGTAGGATCCTAACTAGGGTGAGTGCCTGCTCCAAATTGCAAAACTACCTCCTGTCATAAAGTTATGAGAAATTCAATTCTCTCTGTATAAAGCCAATTAGTTGACACAAATGGTCTCCCCAGTTAACAGGTAAAGTTAGGATGAACTACAAGGTATGATATAAAGTGCTGTCAAGCCTCTTACTTAAGGACTAGTTATTGTTTATCTTGAAAACATGTATGTAATAGGTTGTATCAGCTTGGCTATATAAGGGATGCGATTCCTTTCTGTCTCTGCAACTTTTAATGGACTGCCTACGATGCACATCACACTCTGGTTCCATACTTATTCAATAATAAAAGTGTTTTCTTTCTCTACTACTTTTATGAAGAAGATTGCTGGGTTGGGAGAAGATTTTGTTCCTAATTATAATTCCCCAACAGGGGTAATAATCTAAAAATCTTTTAAATTTAGCTATAAGAAGCTATGAATTTATGTTTAAATACATATATACATATTTATGGCATATGTCTGATGGTAAACATGCAAATCTAGATCCTTCAAATGACCCCTTTCCCTAATCCTCACATTAAAAAAACTACTCTTTGAGCCATTTATGCCTGAGATAGGTATCATATTATTAGACTGAGCAAGAATGAGTGCACACACAAGGCTACTCTAGGAAGGCAAAATAAAAGAAAGGAGAATCGTGGGCTCTTTCCTGGCAGCCCAAAGAGACCACAAACACCAGCCAACTGAACTGAGAAATCAATGTTTCTATAAGTCAAGTCTACAGAGTCACAAGGAGAGAGTGAGGAAGAGTGGAGGACTGAAGGCCACAAGCATATTCTTAGAGGTCTACAAGTTTTCTTCAAAAAATTTTAATTCAGTATTTTTGTTCGTATGACAAGAAACAATATAAGAAATTCTGAGTCACTTGAATGACTCCATATGACTGAACAGAGCCATACAATTTCAGAGTCTGTATTTGAGTTTGTGTTTAGAGGTGCCTAAGGTACTTAAGTGCCGAACACTTCACCTTGCATGGGGACCCATCCATGCACCACTCTGTCTGGTTTGGCTGTCAATCACTAGGCCCCTTACCACAAAGGGGTCGTGTATTTCCACCT